AAATGTGGTTCATCCATACAATGGACTATCATTCAGCCTTTAAAAGGAAGGATATTCTGACACATGCTACAACATGGAGAGCCCTTGAGGTGATGCTAAGTGAAATAAGCCAGAAACCAAAAGATAAATACGACCTGGTTCCATTTACGTGAGGTGTCTAGAGTAGTCAACTTCACAGAGACATTAAATACAATGGTGGTTTCCATGTGCTTTTGGGGGGATTAGCAGAGGGGTAGTGGGGAATTGCTCAGTGGGTACAGAGTTTCAGTTTTGCAAGATGAAAAGAATTATATAAATGAATGGTGGTGATAGTTGCACAACAATGTGAATGTATTTAATGCCACTGAACTATACACTTAAAATGACTGATGGTAAATTTTATATGTATTTTACCATAATTAATTCAAAAGAAAAAGAAAATGGTGTCAGGAAATCCCTTCATGGGCAGCTAACCCTCAGTTTATTCAGATCTTTTTGAATAAACCTTTTGAATGAAGGTCATTCTGTTGTTTGGTTGATTTCTCAAGAAAGAAAATAAACAAAAACACATCAATGCTTAAAATGGTCCTCCTGGGAACAGAGCTCAGAAATATATGAGACCAATGTCCAGGGACAAAAGACTGGGATATTTAGTGTGTGAGAAATAGGTTGGACCTCCTTTTTATTTATTTACTAGAAAATATCCTACCAGTACACACATGGGTAGCCTACAAAGATTCAAAATAAATTCTTGCCCTCTCTATCCATCTGACTTTTTATGGGGTTGACAAGGACAGGAACAATAGGGACTCATCTTCCTTCTCCCACATTAGTCAGAGTATCCCTAAAGCCCTCTTCTCACAGATCACCAGATTATCCTGAGCCCCCCAGAGGCTCACCGGATCATCAGAGAACCTTCCAGATAGAGAAGAGAGTCTGAAGAGAACACAGTCCATAACAACCAAGTTTGAATTAGAGCTTCCCTCCAAAACACAAATGTAAATCCATTTAAGCCTTTTATTTTTATTTACCACACAGGCCTTTACAGACAAGAGCTCAGCTGAAGGCCACAGTAAGGATGATGTTTCATTATTGTTTCTGTTTTGTTCTGTTCTGTTTTGGGGATTTATTTCTACACTAAAAATTAATCAGGAGACCCTTGATTCAGCAGCAAGTCCTGCTGCACTGTGTTTTGGCCCGGCCTTTTGGAGAGGGGCATAGTTGCCCAAGAATTCACACAAGCATACTGAAAAAAAAAAAAAAACTGAAAATAGAAAATAAATTGATGTTTCTAGAGAGAGATTAAGGCAGGAAATAAATTTAGTATTGGGGAAAAAACTCCAAGTCTGGGGCTAAGTCTTGAGAAATGGAGAACTAAGTCCTTAATGGGGGATCTCCTATTGTAAACTCCAATGGTTTTCAATTAAAGGGCCACAAAGTAGTCAAAGTGATTTTTCATATTTCAAACAGCCTATTGGAAACAGAAGATCTGCCAGGATATGGTCACATGGCCTCACCAGAAAGTCAAGTTGTTTTGTGTTTGAGCTGGAAGCCTCCCAAGTCAGTGTGGTTACACTGGTTATCTCACCCCAATCAAAAACCCTTAATTGGCCACTGACGGTGTCAAGGGCATTTCTGAGAGGAGATGTTTTTCCTTCCCATTTTGTTATATGTTTTTGACTAATAAAAATGGAATTATAGCTGCATTATTACTTGTCCATAGTAGTTTGGAAGGCAAAGTCCTGCAAAACCCTGTGTTCACCAAGGAGGAAGCTTAAGGGGTCCTTGGTGGTGAAAAGTTGGGGAACCATCCTCTCCCTCTCCCCGGAACATGCACATTTCAAGGGAATAAACAGACTTCTTCTGAGCCAGAGTGGAGCGTGCCTGTTGTGTGAAAAAATGCAAAGACAGACAGTGTAAATTAACTGCATCTGGTGAGGTTAGGTGAGAAGGGGGAGGAGATAATTAGTTGGCATTATAGGAACAAGGGCAAAGAACAGAATTCTATATTTACGCAGAGGAAATCCAAAATAGACTACTTTGCACCCATTTGGGGCTTGTGAGGGAACTCACTGAGTTGGCAGATGGACGCAGAGACCAGATGCAAGGCTGATCCAAACCAGTGGATACTATGAGCACCATTCCCACCTTCAACAAATGGAAACCTGACTTCATGCCATTTACCTCTTTTTTTAAATTTATTTATTTATTTATTTATTTATTTATTTATTTATTTATTGAGACAGGTCTCGCTCTGTCATCCAGGCTGGAGTGCAGTGGCATGATCACAGTTCTCTGCAGCCTCCACCTCCTGGGCCTCAGTGATCCTCCTACCTCAGCCTCCCGAGTAGCTAGGGCCACAGGTGTGCACTACCACACCTAGCTAACCTTTTTAGTTTCTGTAAAGATGGGATCCCACTATGGTGCTCAGGTTGCTTCATGCCATTTTACTTCTGAAAATGAAGGCAAGAAGGCTAAGGTAAACCCAAAAGACATTCAGGAGCGATAAGACAAGGTTTCAGTGAGAGAACAGTTATCTTCAAACAAAAGCCCTACCATAAGCAAGCTAAACAAATGCATCTGTTTGTAGTAAAGTGGGCTTCCTTAAAACCTGATACTGGACAATTTATAGTACGCTTTGGTATGTATGTTTCCATGTGTAGACATGCAACATTTAGGAAGTAACGCGTATATCGAGTGATGCGGAGACATCACTGGGCTATTTTGTTGTGCATAGGATAGTAAAAATAAAGGCCACAGTCACATAAAACTCGTAATCTGCAGCCAAGATACAATTTCTACTTTCTCAGAAGAATTTAAAGCACGCTAGCACAAACTATGAAGGCGCCTAATACGAAAATCTTTTCTTTCTATTGATGCAAAGATACTTTCTTTTGTTCATGTGGTGTGTGTGTTACATAGGAAGAAAACATGAGCATATTCAACTTTATCGGTGAATGCAGTTAGATGTAGTTCTTTAAAGTAGGAGCTCCTGCTTAGTGCAGAGCCATTAAGGTGTGTACTTACGAGAAGCAAGGTTCAGATGAGTATTTACAGGTTTGCAAACATTTCTAAAGCTGGTTTATAGGGTGTTTATTGCGAAAAAGGATGTAACAGTCATGAGATTAGAGTACTTTCTTAAAAGAGAAGCTAAAGATAGCAGAAAAGACTAGATGAAGATTAGTGAGCTCAGTCGACAGGCCGGAAAGGACAGGGTCTAGGCTGCTCTCATATGCCTCCAGTCTCCCAGAGAATCCCTGGGAAACAGAAATGAACAGATCCAACTCATCAGGACAGAAAAACTGCTGGGAGAACGAGGTTGTGGCCATGGAGAGAGCACAGTCTGGAAGTAAGGACAGCTTAGCTGTGTTCTTTTTTTTTTTTTTGAGACAGAGTCTCACTGTCTCTCTCTGTCACCCAGGCTGGAGTGCAGTGGTATGATCTTGGCTCACTGCAATCTCTGCCTCCCGGGTCCAAGCGATTCTCCTGCCTCAGCCTCCCAAATAACTGGGATTACAGGCATGTGCCACCATGCCTGGCTAATTTTTGTATTTTTAGTAAAGACAGGGTTCCATTGTGTTGACCAGGCTTGTCGCAAGCCTCCAACCTCAAGTGATCTGCCCACCTCGGTCTCCCAAAGTGCTGGGATTACAGGCATGAGCCATGGCACCCAGCCTGGAAGTAAGGACAGCTGTGTTCTAATGCCAGTTCTGCCCAACCAGCTGCGCAACCACGGGCAAGTCATGCCACCACTCAGGGTTCAGACTTTTCATCTATAAGATGAGGAAGATGACTGACTCCAAATAGTCCTTGCGACTCTCTATATTTAAGCCTCTCTGTACTTTCAAAAAGACCAGAGCGACCCCAATAGCTCCCTAAAATGCAGCTCATTGGAAACTTCTAAAATGGCAAAGACACTATACATATCCAACAAACATTTTATATCTGCCTATCATCCTCTTCAAGCATCTCAGAGAACACTGCAAAGCTGCCATTGATATTTCAGTAGCCTCTTGAAGCCTACAGCAGTGACAGCACTCCCTGACCCATCATTACATTATTGAAGAACAGAGATGCTGAGTGCTTTGTCCAAGGTCAGAAGCTAGGACAAGATCAGAGTTCCAGCCTCCTCAGTTCCTAGGCTATGCTATACTTTCCACTAAGAAAGCAAGCAGGCTTTCTGGGAAGAATGCCAGAGGTTCCATTCTCCCAACTGAGAATTCGTTGGAATATTGGAATAACAACTTTGGAGACTGTGGTCTCTCCAATCCATTTCAGGACCTGGCTAGAAATGTGAAAACCCAAAGAAAGAAGCAATAGGGAATTATTCCGTTTTTTAACGAAAGAGAAAAAAATTAGGGGTGGGAATATGGGGTTTCTTAAAAATTACACGATTGCTGGAAGTTAATTTGGTATTTCTTCGTTGGTTTGTAAGTTCTGTTTCCAATCACAAAAACAGACAGCTGAGGATGCCTAAATCACATTTCAGTGGATTAGTGTCTTGTCCCAAAGAATCTTTCCCATTCTGAATATAACATAGAACCCAGAATGCAATCCTCCGTAGTAGAAAGGAATCTCCCTCAACGCAACAGAGAGCTTAGCATATCCCCTAAACCATAATCTAAATTGATAATCTTCCAGCCAAACAGCAATCATGGAGAATAATGAAGCGGGTGCCACTTAACTTGGGGCACACTGCCTCTTCTAGAAAACTGATTGAGACCATACCCTGCCCGAGAGGAGAGGCGCCATTGCTTATATCCTGCACCACACATACTACTTCTGAGGCTGAAGCTGGTGCACCTGGAAGAGACTCCGCCACAGATTTACAGAAACGTGTTCCAAAGGAAGATTCTAGCTTCTTGCAAGAAAGGCCAGCATGAGGAGGCCCTTGTTGGACGAGTTTAGTGTCTTGAAATAACATGAAACCAACCTGACAGCAAAGCTCCGTGGATCAGTACTCAAAAGGTTCATGAAGAAAAGGAACCGCAAATGATTGAAAAATCACTTTTTCCCCCTACCTGTCAATTATGACCGGGTCCGATGGAGTCTCATTTCGGTTTCCACAGCTTTTCTTTTCGCAGCATCGACTGTAGATTGGGAAGGAACCAAAAGAATGAAAGAAATTTATTAAATCAAGAAAATGCAATGAGCACATGACAAGAACATTCTGGATTTTTGTTGTTGTTGTTGTTGTTGTTGTTTTCCAGACAGTGTCTGGCTCTGTCACCAGGCTGGAGTGCAGTGGCTTGATGGCTCTGTCTTGACTCCCTGCAACCTCCGCCTCCTGGGTTCAAGTGATTCTCCTGCCTCAGCCTCCTGACTAACTGGGACTACAGGTGTGCACCACCGCGCCTGGCTAACTTTTTTTATTTTTAGTAGAGATGGGTTTTTAGCATGTTGGCCAGGCTGGTCTCGAACTCCTGTCCTCAGGTGATCTGCCCACCTCGGCCTCCCAAAGTGCAGGGATTACTGGCATAAGCTGTAGCACCTGGCCACAAGAACATTCACAAAGATAAATCTGTCTTGGGGGGAAGCAACACACACTGGGGCCTGTCAGAGGGGTGGTGCCAGGAGGGAGAGCCTCAGGAAGAATAGCTAATGGATGCTGGGCTTAATACCTGGGTGATGGGTTGATCTGTGCAGCAAACCACCATGGCACACGTTTACCTATGTAACAAACCTGTACATCCTGCACATGGGCCCCTGAACTTAAAGTAAAAGTTGAAGAAAAAACAAAATGAATCTAAGGTAGCTTCCCAACTATAAGCTGCTTGAGGGCAGGATTTGTGACCATGTTTTATAAGATAAAAAATTAAAAACACTGAACCCGAAGCCAAAATATACTCAAATTCTCACTCTATGACTTAGAAGCTAATTCTCAACTTTCCTATGACCCATATTTGTAATCAGAACCACAGAAGGTTGGATTTAAAGGTCAATAAGGTCACTTCCAGATTGCTATTCAATGATTTTATGATTATTTTAGGTCTTTGTGGCTCAATAAATATTTGAAGAAAGGAGAAGAAGGAAAATATATAAAATAGACTGTAAATAGCTGCCTGGATTACTGTAAACCTTATTTACATAACTTCTTTCTCCAGAGATCTTGGTATACTTTATAAACATTTATTCATTCACTTATTTCCATCATTTTTCAAAGATTAAAGAGGAAGACCAGAACTATGGTATACATTTTAAAATAGGAGGAAAATGAGGCAAGGAGCTGTAGGATGATAGCTCCAATAATTTTCACCAAGTCGGAAACAGAAATGGTATCCCACTGTTTGTAAGTCCCAGTTCTGAAAACTCCACTTCCCAAGATGTCCCCCTTTGTGCTGAGTACCTGGTAGAAAGACCTCAATAAATGCTGATAGGATTAGCTGAGAGGGAGATAAAGAAGATCCCCTGGGGCAATGACAACAAACAGAAAGTACCTCCTAGGACCTGAGAGGGGAGCAAACCACTGCAATCCAAAGGTATCTATCTATTTGAAAATACCTAGACCAATGTGACAAGGGCAAAGAAAGCTTGCTGGTAAGAAGCACTGGGAATTCACTTCCTTACAACCAGGTAGCCCATCTGCTGCTTATCAGAGGTACAGACTTCTGAATACCTCTCAGCTCATCTCAGGCACATGGTCCACTATCAACTATAGTTGGCTAAGGATGTAGCCTTGACATGGCTTTTTAAAAAAATCCTTATCATCCATACTGGTTGGAGCATAGGCCTAAGAAGTAAGCACGCTAACAATAACCAAACTATATGTGGGCATTGCCCTTTCCATGGTAGTTTTTCTGTAGCCTAAGTTTGACACGATACCTTAGGAAGACTGCTGAACTCAGAATCAGCGTTCTGATATCCAAGCTGTCACCAACCAGCTTCACAAATTTAGTCATATGTCTTTAACCCCTCTGGGCTTTTTCTTTCTTATGAATAAAGTGAAAGTGTTGGATTTGATTCTCTCTAGAGTCTCTTCTAGGTTTAAGTTCATGACGCTAGGGGATTCCATGAGCACCCTTTGAAAGTGGTGATAACATAAGGAAAAAAGGGAAGTCATGTGACAGCAGGAACCCAAAGGCCTAACACCAACCCAGTCTTAGATTTTTTTTTTTTTTTTTTTTAACAGGGTTTCCCTTTGTTACTCTGGCTGGAATGCAGTGACATAATCATGACTCACTGCAGTCTCAACCTCCCAGGCTTAAATGATCCTCCTTTCTCAGACTCCCATATGTAGCTGAGACCACAGGTGCACACCACCACACTCGGCTAATTTTTGATTTTTTATTTTGGTAGGGACAGGGTCTTGCTGTGTTGCCCAGGCTGGTCTTGAACTCCTGGGATCAAGCTATCTGCTCACCTCGGCCCCCCAAAGTGCTAGGATTATAGGCGTATGCCACCATGCCCAGCCCCAGTCCTAGCTCTGTGGCTCTCTGCAGCTCATTTGCCCTCTCTGGTTCTCCAAGAATTAAACATAAATATCTTAAAACTTTTTAAACCCATCTCTTTCATGGGTGTGGATTCGCCAGTGAATAAGTCTACCATCCTCAGAAAGTGAAATATACTTGAGAGATGCTTAAACATTTGCAGCAAATGGGCACAATGAGGTTTTAAGAAATTTAATCAAATTAGTAGGAAGGAAAAGAAAAATGGTCTCAACTTTCTTAAATACTAGAGTTTGCCACTGGGACTTTCTGAAATAATATTTGGCCTTTGAAATTATATTAGGTCTTAACTTTTAAAATTTCAATCCATCCCAAGATTAACACCAATAAAAATGCAGGCCAGCTGCTCTCCCACCTCCTAAAGCCCTTGTCTCTCTTTCCAAATCCCTACGCCCCCACCCATTTCTCCCACCTTTCCTGTTTCTAGAATATTGCTTATGTCAACATAATACCTTTGCAGTTAAGGCAAACCATTTTTCTTAGCAACACAGTTTCAAAAGACCCATACATGCTAGCTACCTACAGACCTTCAAGCAAGACTCTCCCCTTTGACATCACCAGCATGTCAACCTAACCCCAAATATGTGTGCAATGCTGGGTACAATTTAATTACAAGAGCACACACTGTCAGAATGTGCCAATCTGTTTAGTTTGGGTAGGAATGATTCTGAGGGGGCTGAGTAAGTTTGCAAAATTGTTCAGCTCAATTCAGCTGCCTTCCGTGGGGATTTCCTCTGGAGGAAAAGAAAAACAGATAAAAATGTAAGCCTGGTGCCAGTGTAGTATAACGTAGAGAATGAACTTGGGAGGAAATGATATTCAAAGAAAAATGCAGATAAACTTTAGGATCCAATCCTCCATTTTCCAACAGCAACATATTTAAATATCATCTCTAATGTTGATATTCAGCACAAAACATACATAGAAGACACTCACTTGGCCATTGAACTATAATAGTAAAGTTCAATTAATAATAGAACTTGGTTGAGTTAGCCCCATTTGAGCGCATCTTAACATTTTTCTAGGTCTGTGAGTTGGCCAAAGCAAATTATTATATTTTTTTTTTAGAGAAAAGTTCTCATTAATATGTTCTAGTCATTCTTTGTTTTTAACGGCATTCAGTCCTCCCGCCAGCAATATTAGCACAAGCAATGGGAAGTGGAGAACCTGAGATGTTTGTGAACCTACAATCCCCAAACAGTGTGGAACAGCTAACAAACCAGGTCCCTGAATTACTCAGATAAATTTAATTCTGCCTTCCCTTTGCTGTGTAGACAAAGCCTGAGTGACCAACTTTAGGTTCATCTACTTTAGTTAAAAGGCTAGGATTATTCTCCAACAAGCAAGTCTGACGTTCTCAATAAGTGTTTTCTAAAACTGACTCTAAGATAAAAAATAATAAAACAAAGAGAAGAGGAAACTGAGCTTGGCAATAGGTTAAGATTGTGTTCATAACAACCCCAGAGAGACTCAGAGCTGCTCTTTTTTCTTAATGAATGAAAATGGAAGCTGTTCCACTGTTTCTCTCTGGCGTGGTTTGGTTTATTTTATTCTAGTACTTATTTGGAAAACGTTTTACTTGGAACGCTCAATTTATTCTCCCCATCTCCACCCGGAGTCTTTGAAGGAGAGAGAAAAAAATAAAACAAGTTAGAAGTGGGAGGTGGGGAAACATGAGAACTCTTATCACAATCCTGAATCATACCTGCATTTTTCAGAAAGGGAAAGAGAAAAGATGGCTGAGGAAGGGGAAAAAGCCCCAGCGTTGGACGGAGGGTGTCCACTCAGCCAAACTCCAGCTCACGGCAAGTGAGTGTGTCTCTTATCCCCTCCAAAATAGTTTTTAAAATTCAACCTTCAACTTTCAAAAATCTGTCTCTAATTTCAAACTCAAATAAGCGCACAGCATGGTGGCTTTTGTTTTGTTTTCTTCTCCCCAACTCCTCCCTGCGATTGCATAACAAAAGTGTCTAAATTCACACCATCTGGCCAATAAAGACACTGGCCCCACTGCCCGGCTGGCCCATCTGATTAGGGCCCTGTCTAGCCTGCGCCTTGTGGCGAAAAGTCACAGCTGTGGGGTTTGCTCGAGCTCAATACAACTCTGTTATTAGCCAGCTGTAGGCCTTGAGACGACTTCTGTTCAAATTATAATATCTTTTAACCCTCTGAGCATTGAGGGCTCAGGGGTGGCAGGCAGCGCCATAACAACTAGATTTCTCCTTGCTAATAATTGGTAAAATGAACCAAAGCAGGGAAGAGAGGAGCAGAGACCATTGGGGAAGGGAGAAAAAGTTATTCCTAAAGAGATTTATTTTGTCTCTGCTTTGTTCCCCATTCAAAGCTAAACACCGATTTATGAGCCTTTTACTAAAGATTACGGAACATAAAACCATCTGGGGAAGTGCCCAGGTATGCCAAATAACACTATGCAAATGAAACTAAGTATATGCAGTAACCCTCAAGAAACAGGGCACCTGATTCATCTCTCAATCATTGACTGCTACAACTGGCTCTTAAAATGTAAGAGAAGGAACTTTTCACCCTTCCTGAAGTATCAACCAGCTCTAACTGACAGATGGAATGAGAACTTCCCTTTTGGATGCATCTAATATTTGCCATCACCCATCTCGTCTGCACACGTGTACACACACACGCATATGCTGCAGACAGTATCCATTCAATGGATCATTTATTTACACATAATTAATATTTATTTTAAATTCTAGTTTGGGAAGAAAACAGCAGAGCATCTTCCCAGGTCTCCAACGCAGAGAAGTTACAGTACATTAAATTTTTATATTGTGTTACTAATGCAGACTAAACTAGAGGCTTTAAAAATTGATGCTGCTACTTAAACAGCATAAAATGAGGAGGATTTGATTGGGCTTAAAAATAAAAATGTCAGTCTTAACTACAGCTGGATGGGGCATGCAAGTGTTATTTAAAATGATAGGTATAATTCATTAGACAATGGATCAGTTTTTGGTTTTGTTTTCTTTCCTTTTCAGAAAGTAATCTCTCCAAAGGCATAAAAAGAAAAACCTCCCTTCAACTGACCAACCTAATCAAAGCGTTCTATTTAAATATAGGTATTATATAAAGTACATCTCAGAATTGTGTTTTCTTTCTGAACAGATCTATCAAAGGTCCCTGAGATAGTAGAGTATCTATCTTCTTACTCCTCCCAATGTCTTCCCCCAGCTACTTCAGCAAGGAAGCCTCCATTGCTTTCAGCTGAAGCCACTGGCATTTGGAAAGCTTGTTTTTTTAATACTTGGTCAAAACCAAAACAAACATGTCTGATTGTTATGGTTTCTTCCTGACTAGGTTGGGGAGGGAGACAGGGCTTCAGGGAGCTGCCCATAAAACAGTACACACTAAATCAGATAACCTGCAATTACCCAAAACTATTAAGTCTGGAGTTGGGAGACATTCACTAAAGCAATAGCCAAGTAAGGAAGAATTGAGGCTTTCCCTCCAATCAGAGATTTTTGGAGGAAGAAAAGCATGTATGGAATAGACATTTAAATTTTCATAATAAAATAGCCACACTCTTTCCAGAGTTTCCTATTTATATCTTGTTTGCGGTGGGATCCCCAGCACCCAGCCGATACCGGGTACATACTAGGCACTCAATAAACATTTGTTGAAATAATAAGGGTGGATGCAATTCTTCTGATTTTTTAAATTTTCTTCCAGGCAGTCAGAAAAAAAAAAAGGGAGTAATGCACAGGACTCAAGGTGGAATGGATTGGTCTCTGAAAGGAAGATGGGAAAGGTGCAGGAAGGCCAGTAGACTGAATCTTTCACGACGTGAACATCAGAATCCAGCTGTTGCTCCACACTCCAGATCTCTCAGCGGGTCCTCTCCCTGCCCCTCCTAAGGCACTGGTGGGAACTGGACAGATTTTTCTTCCCGGTAGTTCCTTCTGACCTGAGAAACTCCCCTAACACGTGAACTCCGAAGAGAGCAACCTCCCCGGAGGAAGAAACGCCCCCGCATCACCGCAGGTGCCAGGGTGCCAGGAAGCACCCCAGAAATGAGCCGCTGGACCCTCTGGTGGTCCCTCGCCCAGACGAGGAGTCGTTCCAGGGCTTTGACTCATTAACTCCACAAGTGACCCTCCTGGAAATCTACCACTAGAGGCCGGGCGGGAACTCCAGCTGATCCCAAACCGGGCCCGGGGTTGCCCAGCCCGCTTCCACCACTACCACTGACCAGGGCACAGTGGAGACCTTCCATGTGGCCAAAGGAAACTCCTGCGACATCAGAGAGGTGGAGTCCCGAGTCGTTCTGAGTCCTAACGGCTATGCTTCAAGACACTTGCATGAAAGGGTTTCCGTGGATCTACACTCTGCGCCCGTCTGCCCGCGAGGCCTCTCAGCTGGGAGCCCTCACTCCTGAAAGTTGGTCCCGGGAACGCGGCGCACCAAGGCCGGGCTGGAGCACCTGCAGGCTCTCCAGGAAGGCCTGGGAAAAGGCGGCTCTTACCTACACATCACTTCGTGCGTCAGGAGAACTCGGCACATTTCCGGATTCTTATTCTGTCCCTCGTACGCGATGGGCTGTGAAGGAGGTAGTAGCAGGAAAGGAAGATGTGGAAAGGGGTTGGGGGCAAGGAAAGAAGGGACTTCAGAACAAGCACAACATCGCTTTCCCTCCCACTGCCTTCCACTGCATTAGGAATTCCCGCCCGCGGCACAACCTGAGCGGTTGCCGAGTTTGGACTCGACTGAAAGCATACAGAAGTTTGCCCCAGTGAGAACATCATTCTTAGCAAAATGGAATGTTTGGGGGAACTGAATCTCCCAATAATTGTTTCCTTTCCATCCTTTTTCTTCGCCTCTTACTGCCCCCAGGGTTTCCCTGAGTCAGACAGAACAGGTCACTTGGTGAGACAGAAAAAAAAAAAAATTTCCCGAGTGGACAAGGTGCTGGGAGGGGGACGTGGAGGGGGGCTGTGGAGTCTGACCCAGGAAATAGTGGAGGAGGGGCAGGTCAGAAACAAACTGGGGGGATTGAGGGGACGGGTCAGAGACAGGTGAAGAGAAGCCAAGAGGCCTTGGGCTCACCTGCTTGGTGACCGAGTCGATGAGCCTGACATAGAGGTCCTGTTCCGTGCGGACACCTGCGAGGACCGGACAGGCACCAGTCAAGGGTCGTGGAGCCCCTTCCGGACACCCCAAACCCGTCTCTGCTATGAGTCTGAGGCCCAAGCAGCCTCTCCAGGCTGAGCCGCCCTGGAGACGGTGACCTCCCAATCCCCTGTCCCAGGCAAGCCTCCCGCCGCCCTGGGCTCCATGCGATTCCTGAGAGTGATCATGGCAAGATCAACGCGTGCGGCCCAGAAGCCGGCTGCTAGGCGCCGGCTCACCGTTGCTGTAGAGGAGCTCACCGTTGCTGTAGAGGAGCTGTAACTTGTAGTGAGTGCCATTGTTGGTCTTCTCGTTGCCTTGTTCCTGAAAAGACAGGCAGCGTTCGATTCCCTTGCCTTCCAGTCCCCCAAAATAAGGGAAAGAGGAGACAGTGAATCCCCACCCCACATCCCTTCTCCCCATCAAAAGGCAGCTTCGAACAACCCCTATTCAGCCCTAGGTCAAAGGGCACGAGCATCTGCCTGTCTTTGGCCGCCCTTGGAAACTTGCCAAGACTCGAAGCCACTTGACCCTTTCCAGCCCTCTGTCTCCCTTAAAGATGTCCTCAGAAGTGTGACCCTTGAGCCTGCGACAACAGGACAACTCGCCAAAGCTGCCTGTAAACAGGCACCACCCAACCCTTCGGGCTCTGTCTGTCCTTAGGAAGCCCCAGGGCTTCCTTTGGCAGAAAAGGGAAGGGACCTGTCATTTGGAAAGGCAGCATTCGGGCCTATCCCGCAAGGACTGCGCCCGCAGGGCCACGAGCTCAGGGACTGAGTTCCAGGTTCAGGAGGGACTTTGGGAAGGCCTGCTCTAAAGCTCACATTGTACAGCTGGGGACACGGAGACCCGGAAAGGGCAAGGGATTTTCCTTTGGTCACACATGAGTTTCAGCGAACTGTCCTTCATTTGAGATCGAATCCAGCCCCAGTTCCAGACTTGAGTTTGGAGGAGGCGCTGCCTTGGAGAACAGAAACGGAGAGAAGGCACAGCCCGAAAGCGGGCCAAGGCTGGGCTCCCGGTTTCCGCTTAGTACTGCAACTCAGCCCACCTGGCTCTCGCAGGTGCAAAATAATTCAAATTAACCCAGAGAAGGGGAGCGGCGCCCTTGGGTGTACTTTTTAACTAGTTCGAAGGGCGTTTGCTCCTCCGTCAGTCCACAGCCAGGCGCTACTAAGGGCGCCGGGCTCGGTGCGCAGAGCCGGGAGCGCTCCTCCAGCACCGGGTGGGGGGAGTGGGGATGGGAGGAGGTTCGGGAAATCGACTGATTTAGAGGCTGGGGGTGAGAAGCCTCGATTTATCATCCCTGATGATGCGAGTGAAAAAGTGTCGCGAGAGTGACAGATGGAATCTTTAGTGCTTCGCAAAGAGGGAGTTATTAGACCGCGGGGTTTGGGGGGTACGTTCCGCTTACTTTGTCATTCTCCACAAAGTCCACGAAAGCAGTCCGCTCGATCTCCACCGGCTGGCCCTGCCTGTCATAGAGCGCCAGGACGAAGTGAAAGAAGTTGGATTTCCTCAAGTTGGAGGGAGGCTGCTTCTCAAAGTGGGCCCGGGACAGGGCGACCCCGCTGCACAGGGAGACAAACGGGGGACACAAGACACGGGGAAGGACAAAAAGGCAATGTTACTAACCGCCCACAACATGCAGAGGGGTAAGGCGTCCACTTACCAGGTCCAGAGTTCTGAACCCTTCGGGCCTTTTTTCCAATTCGGATAAGGAAGAGGAGACTCCTTAAAGGAGTCACCGTGGCCACGGGGGTTGGGTGGCAGGGTTGATGCCTGGGGTCTCTGACACCACCCAGTGGTCCGACATCCCACCGCTGGGCCACTCACCATCCCGTCTTTAGTGGAAACTGAAAGACCCGGGCTGCCGACAGAGGCCCAGAGTGGTCCCCTAAGGAGGTGGCTCGCGTCCTATACCGTGGGGCTGTCTCCATCCATTCCCTCAGGTGGTACTGCTGGGTATATAAGGATGCAGAGCTGGGGCCCAGGGTTAGGGGAATAAGTGCTTCCTTTGCTTTGGAAGAAGCGACCCTTTTATTTCGTATTAATTCGAGTTACCCGTCCTGAACCCACTGCCCACAACGCCCAAATGCTAACTGGGAAAAGTAGTGGGTAAGAACCCCAAGGGGCAGGAGGGAGAGCAACACAGAGTCCAAGTCTGGGTCCTTGGGCTGCTTGCCTCGCTCTTCCGAAAAGTTGTGCCTGGGACAGAGACAGGGCGGAATCCTCGTGACCAGCCCCGGGGATCGCTGGCCACCGCAAATGAGATGACCAACATAGGGGACCCTCGCTCCCAGAGGTGCTAGGTGGGGAAAAACCAAACCGTTAAAGGGCGAGAACCTCCTTTCCTGGGGCCAACGCGATCCCCACTCAAGCTGCGTTTACCGGCGGCGCCAGTCGAACCCAGTGACTGTGAAACCCAAGTTGGGGGGCCCGGAAGGCGCCCTCGAGTGTGTCAAGTGTGTGCACACACTTTCCAGCCAACCGGTCGCAGTCACAGCCGACTTGGCCATCAGATCCCATTTCACCGAAGACTTGGGGCTCAGGCGAGCACACAGATTGCGGGAGCTGCCCTGCGGCGCTGGGGTCTCCCAGCGTTGAACGCCGGTGCGCAAGCGCCTTCATTCACTCTTTTGAAAGGGGTGATGTTTTAGCTAAGATCTCCCCCACTCTGCCTGTTTCAGCTTCAGCAAACTTTTCGATTCCGGGAAGGAAGGAAAGCGAGGGAGGCTTCTTTAAGGAGTCAGCCCAAGGAAATGCGCGGCGCAGCGGACTCTGCGGTGCTGCCTTATTTCCCTCAGCTCGCGGGCGGGCCAGTCCCGGAGCGCTGCGGAAAGCTGCGGCCACCGCCGCGCTGTGCGGTCTGCTAGAGGGAAATCCGCGCGCCCCGGGCCACGGGAGGGAGGGAGCGGCCGCCGGCCCAAGTCCCGGAGCGATGAGACTTCTGCTTCCTCTCCTCCAAGGATGGAGGCCGGTTCGCTCTACCCGGGACACCTGGCCAGTTTGGGAAAGGGCTCATTTCTCCGTGTGATGTTGGCACTTAAAGGTGGGTGGCCAGGAGGGCAGCGGGGGAAGCGAGGGTCCTGGAAGAAGTTCATGGGCTCTTTGGGGTAGAAGGGCTGCCTTCTCGCAGACAAGGACCTGGAGGCCACAAATTCCAACTCAGTAGTGGTAATGAGAGAATGGGACCGTAATGTCTTCGTAGGGTGGCACCCCGGACATGGTATTTACTATCCCAGCACGCAGACGCCTAGACACAAAGTCACCTTCAGGGATCCGCAAAACCAGAGGCTGGCGATCCCTGAGCCTGTCTGGCTGCCGGTCGCCTTTTCTCGCCTCTTTCTTCTTCCGCAACTCTTTCTACTGTGACTCCGTCTTTTCTCTTCTTTTAAATCTCTTCTTTTCTCCAGCTCCCCAGCTCCGTTCGTCTGGCTCACTGTTTTATCTTTGAGCCGGGACCCTCCAGCCTGTCCCCCCTCCCAGAGCTCCCGGCCGCCTCGCCTTCCCCGGCAGCCGCTCCGGCTTCTCCCGCTCCTCTCCCCGCCGCCACCCTCTGGCCGCCGGCCTCCAGGAATCGCCCAGCAAGATGCGGGAGGCAGGCGCTTGCAGGCGGCGTGGCGAAGCCGGGAGCGGCCAGGAAGCCAGCTTTTCTCCCGCGCCGCCACTGCCAGCTCCGGTATTCACGCTCTGCTCGGGGCCAGGCCGGCTCCGCTTGCAAGACTAGCGGTTGAACTGGGAGATGTTGGGTACTACTTTGTTATTTTTCCTTGCAAAGAGTGGACTGCGGTAAAGGAGTAGGAGAGAAACGCCTACGACCCAGGCAGTTCGGAAACTCGAGTGCTGGCTGCCGGGTGAGCGTTCCCCTGACTGCAGCGATCTGCTTGCCCGAGGGCGAGCCCCAGAGCGCAGGGCCTGGGCGACAGATGGGGAGACAGGGAGAGAGAAAGGCACGGGGAGCAGGGGTGGGGGTGCACAGGGAGAGACAGACCGTAAGAGCGAGAGACTGAGAGCATAATAATTGCGCGGCCGTGTCGTTACCTCTGCGCTGCGACATTAGCGTCCACCACTCCGACATTCCGGACCCAGGACCTGACCGAATCCATCTCGGCGCCCAGCGATTTCTCTTTCAGAGCTGGTCCTCTTCCTAAAGTATCTTGAATCCCAAACATTTAAAAAGTCTGGTCCTCTACTGTCGCTTTAAAAGTAAGAGTTACAGCAACACAGTCCTGACTGTTCCCAACGTTGCCAGCAAATCGTCTCCTCCAAAGCAATCCAAGAAAAGGGATCAAGTGCCCAAGTTTGAGTCTTAGGGGGAAAAAAAAAAAAGATAACCCGTCCTTTGCTTCACTGGAGAGGTGCGGACTGATGTAGCCAAAGTTCGGGTTCTTATCCTCCGTAAGTTCAGATCTGCCGCCTCAGCCCCTCCACCCTAGGTCGCTCGCATCCTTCCAGCTGCAGCGCTGCCTCCTGAAAGTGATCACAATTTAGAAGCATCACCTGTTCTGGGAGAAACTGGAAGAAATTGATGGCTGCCTAATCTCTGCCCTTCCTCCAGATCCCCCCTCCCTGCTCCTCCCCACCGTTCCAATTTGGAAAAAAAAAAAAAAAATCCCCAACAGGATCAGTTGTAAAAGGAAGGGGAAGACCCGGAGCCGAGAGGAGGCGGTGGCTGCGAGCGCCACGGAGCCCGGCTGCAGCCGCGCGCGGGCCCCATGAATGGGTTACTACGGCCCTGGCCGCTGGAGGCGGAGCCGGGGCCCGATAAGGAGCCTCATTTGCATGGACGAGCGGGATTGGCCGGCGCCGGGCAAGCCGGGCCGACGTCCTCAGGCGGCGCGCGCCACGCTCTGCGTTGCCGGGACTCCGGGAGGTGAAAGGGGACAGAAAGCTGCGGGCGTCGCGTCCTTGCACGAACCCCGTGTGCGTGCGCAGGATTGGGGGTCCCCCACACCCTGCACTGACTTAGGGTAGCGGGGCTGTGCGGGCTGGGGACGCAGGGGTTCGGCCTGGCTGAGGGAAGCCTCCCTGAATCTTGCCTCTATATGTAGGTTTTTGTAGCCTGCCAGGAGACACGTTCGTTCCCGGGGTTCGGATCTGTGTGCAAGCTTGTGAGCGTGGCCACATATGCTTATGTTTTGTGCAAACGTCCCCCAGAACACCCAGCTCCCTGAACGGCTCCCGCAGGTCTCCTGGAGTTCCATGGTGATATCAGATGTTGTGTGCGGCTTGCACGTTGCTGAGAGTGGAGAACATATGAATGAAGGCGGGAGGTGGAGCGGGGTGGACAAGCGAGGCGCAAGTGCTGCTCAAATACAATGCGGGGGAAAACACCCGCGGGCGATCGGGCGCGAGCAGCAGTCGCACCCGTGTGGAGGAGAGGTTGCTGACAGATCGAGGCGGGCTGAGTGCGCAAGCGGCCGGGCATAGTCCTGCGGGTCCTCCAGTTCCCTCCCCATCTCTCCGTTCCCGAAGCTACCGGGAGTGGGTGAGGAAGGACGGGGACTCGCGGAAACTTCGCCCACCGCGCGCGGTCGCTACGGTGCTGGCCGCGGGCTGGTGGCCGGGAGGCGGTGGCAGCAGCCTCACCGAACAGCTGAAACCCTAGACGGCTTTTTAGCTGCGCGGGGCTGCTCGAGGTGCCTATTAAACATCCTCCTGGCTGGGTGTCATTTTCTTGCTTCTCCTTTTGTATTCTGATCTGTGCATAGATCTGCTGCTGAAATCTAGAACACCAGCGCGAAAACAGATTTGAAGACAATGAATGCAAATCTGTGCTCAAAGACCATCTGCTGTGGAGGAGACAATCAGCTGTTCGTAGTTCGAGCGATTGCGCCCGAGTCTCCCGGCCTCATTACGGGGAGGGCATTTGCGAGCGCCTGGGCTACGTTCAGGGCACTTTCTCCCCTCTTAGGTCTCAGATTTGAGAGACCAGATCCCTTAGGTGTAGGTGAGCGCTCGCAAATGAACTGCTAGAGTTTGCCGCTAGAGGACACAGCACCATGCAACTGGTTTGCCTGGGCTGACAGGAAGCTTGCACTTCAAGAAAACTCGGCTCTCTTGAGAAAGGGACTGGTGCGCGCCTCCACCTCCGGGTTTGAGACTAGGAAGCGCTGGTCCGAACTGCGGAGATTCGCTTGAAACCCGATAGGGGGTTAGGGAGTTTGGGGGGCGGGTGCACGGACCGTCTCCGCATAGGCCCCGGGATCCAGGGACTGGGGTCATTGATTTGGGGGAAGGTAGAGAAGATAAAACCCCCGCCTCTGGGTTGTGTTGACTATGGTACCTGGACCCCAGAGCTCTGGCTCTGTCCTCCCTGTTGGACTAGAAGGGGCGGGAGAGCCATACAGGGCGATTGGGAAATGGATCGGGTGGCTCGTAAAAAGCCAAGTAAGACAGGAGTGTCCAAAGGAAGAAAGGGGCGGGGAGGAAAATTTGTAGGGATGAGATTCACTGCCCTGTTTCAACTCGGCAATTCTCTGTTACATGCAGGTTTTAAGGAGAATTTCGGTCCCAGCAAAAACTGACCACCCGGAGTCTTCCACCGTCTCTCTTTATAAATCTCTTCGAACCTCAAGCAACTCCCTGCCTCCTTCGTCTGGGGTCTGCGCCCAGCGGGGTCAAAGCCTTGAGTTCCTTGGCAGAGAGTGTGGAACAGCCGTGAGCCCTTCAAGACACGCCAGTGAGCCCGGTGATTTTTTTTTTCAAGGGGCCTTGGATGGTCTGCACCTTCACGTTGCCCCGGAAAGGTGCGCAGGGCACCCAGAGAGGCCTCTGGTCAGCAGTGGGACTGGGCCGAGCCCCAACAGTTTACCCCTCAGGCTCAGGTTGGCTGGGGTTAAAGGGCAAAGTCAGGGTCGAGGGCGCCAGCTTTTCTCGGCGGTAACAGCTGCCACCCAAATTATGCCCCCTCAGGAAGCGAATGAATTGTTCCTTTCTCCCAGCTCCCTGCTGCCCGCTCCAAAACAGACGGGCCGCGCTTGGCGGTCGCCCCTCCTCCCAGCCAACCGTTCCTCCCAGACATTCAGGGGCCACGGTGCTCCTCCCCTGGGAGGCAATCTGGGGGAGCCGTGGTCCCGAACTTTGACAGAGTGGGACCTCCCCACTACTCGCCGGCTGCGCTCAGGGCGCCCCCCGCGACAATGTTGATGGGAGCTCCAGGGATGGCTCCCTGTGTGGCTCTCTGAAGGAGTTGAAGTTCATTGTTGGCCAGGCTGGAGTTCCTGCGCCAGCGTGAGGGGACAAGGATTGCCTTGGGCCCAGCGTGGTAGCATTTTGGCCAGTCCAGTTGGGCTTAATTGTGTCTGTGTAGGTTTTGGGGAGGAATCGGCGCAGAGCCCGTCACTCGCGCGAAACATGCGTTGGTTCGGGAAGTGAGCAGCGGCGGCTGCGCCTGGAGGGTCGCTCCCATCTCTCTTACCCCAGCTACAGGCAAACAAACCTCCTTTTCGATCGTGCAACACAAAACCCGCCCCGAGCCGCGCGGGGGCCCGGCAGGCGCAGCTGCGGCCCCGGGAAGCGCAGTCCCGCGGGGCTGCGGAGCCCACGCGCTTCTCAGGCTCCGACCAAAGAGCTCGGTTCTGCCTCTAGCCCTGGTCAAGAAAAATCCAAAAAGAACACTATGATTAAAATTATTCACAATCTATTTATACAAAACTGGGGGTGTCTTTTACCCTGTCCTCTTCTTCATTTACCCTTCCCAAATGACCCCCACCCCCGTTTTTTCTTTTCATGTTCCTGTTTCAACCTGTCTGTAACCCAGTGTGATATGTTCGATTTCCTCGTAATTGGTTTTAAACCCCTTTGCCCAGTCTCATCCTGTCCAGTCATCTGGGCGCCAAGTCTCTCCTCCCGATCAGAGGTTCGGAAATTTTACTTAGCAACTGCTCTCCTGGCTGTGTTCCTGTCTGGCGGGACGCAGGGGTGAATTCAGAGATGTCAGAACACACCCCTAAATACGACCTTCACCCCCACTTCCAGACACACACCCCCTGCGCCGAAGCACAGAGCCAGACCAGTAGCCGGGGAATTCGATTCACAGGGAGAGCCAGTCTGGGTTTTATAAATGGAAAAAGTGGCTGTCCCCGTGGCCTCTCTTCGAACGTGAATTTTACAATTTTGGGTTTTTTATTTTTTAAACTGGAACCTTTACTCTTTGTCCGACTACAAAGAAATAGCTTTACTTGACATATCAGAGACCTGCCGAACATTTAACTCACAATTCTTTATGAAATGATTTTTTAAAAAATATCTAACTTCATTAACTCTCACACCAAATTGCAACTTTGGCATTTTCTTCCGGTAACTAGATTTGTATGTTCTATAAATGTGAATTCCCTAGAGAGGGTGGGAGAAAAGAAACTATTCATAAATGCACGACAAATATCTCAGGGGGACTCCGCCGTCAATACCAAACAGCTCCCTTATAGGACAATTTGCGTAAGAAGTGGATTCGCTTCTTTTGTTTTCACATAGTGAAGGAGATTCGGGCGGGAACAGCTGCAGAAATGCTGAGTCGTACTGAGTCGTACTGAGTCGTGGAGGAACGTTTTAGAGACACTTGATGTCGGTTGTATCGTTGCATCGAGGCCAGCCGGGGCACTGCAGTGAGTTTACCCAAAATAGACTGGAGGAACCAGATTCAACTCTACCCTAACACTTGGCAACTCCAGAAAGTCTTCCTCCTCCTCTTCCTCTCCTCTGCTCCTCCTCCCCCTAGTATTCTCCTTCGGAAATATCCCTCTTTCCCATCCCCTTATTCCGCGTGCAGAAGGAGCGAGGAAGCAAAGCGGAAAGGTCAAGAGAACAAATTCTCGCAGCGGCAGCTTGGGGAGCGCTGGTGTCCACGCGTAAATAGAGGCCTGGGAGGTGTGTGTGCTGCGGTGCAGGCTGTCTGGAGAGAGAAGTGATTGATAGCTTCCATGGGAATCTGGGGACCCGATTTCCCAGGTGGGAGGGGTGATTTTCACGTGAAACCCCTGCTGGGGGCCGTGCTGGGGTAAATCGGCCGGTTGCAGCCCCTTTCAAGGAACTGTGCACGAAGGCGGTGGCATCTGTCATCACTACTTAAGGTGCAGTGATGGGGGCAAGTTGACCCGCATTAAAAGGCCTGATCACGCTGGTCTCCGTGAACGCGAAGACCGAGAGGAAGGTACTAACGATCAGAGGCAGGACTTGCCCAAGCCCTTTCTGAACGACCTTAAACTTCACAGCAACACTTCAAGTGGAAGTTATTGATTTGTTTGCCCCTAACATGTTACAGATGAGCAAAATGAGGGTGGGAGATGACAAGTGGCATCCCAACTGCTGAATGGGGAACAAGGATCCTCCCCATCTTCCATTTCTAATAACAATAGGGTGCAACAGAAGGCCTTCAGAAAGAAAAAGTTAAATGTGACTGGTTTTCTTCCCCCCCCCCCCCCCGCCCCCGGTTTCTTAGCTCAGTGATAACCGAAGAGCTACTCTGAAATGCACCCCTTTTCCTGGCGGTGCCCGCCAGCCGGCAGGGGAAAGCCCGAGGGACCTCCCAGCTCCTTCCCGGCTCGACTCGCCGCGGAGGTGTGAGCGATGTGTTGATTATTCATATTTTTACCAAGCGCACACTCTGCTGCGGCCGGCGCCGCCACATTTCACACGTACACTGACGTACCCACATGCACAAGCGCTCACCCGGCCCGCACACACGCAGCGACCCGCGCGCCAGGGGCCCTCCTCAGATAAGGGAGGGGTGACAAAAG